TGCAGGCTGAACACATGATGTGGCTGCAAACTGGACATGCTTCAAAGCACATCTCAAGTACGGCCAGTCCGATCAAACACCCAGCCCCAGACTGCGGGTTTGGTCTGGGGCTGGGGGAGCAACGTGCAGCTCCCCTGGATGGTGACAGCTCTTTGGGGCCAGCTCCAGGAAAGCAAGGAGGAGAACACAAAAATCCACATGGGGAGAAACTGCTGTAAGGGGATCCTTGATGTAACACTTGATTTGGAGACTTGTTTAGGGCATCCTTGGAGAAACATGATGGTGCTGCAGGATGCAGCATTAGTGGCATAGACCAGGATGCTTTTCTTACTGATTTAGTGTCTGGGTGGACAGAGAGGAAGCTGGTAGTTGCTGTGTAACTCTGGAGTCTCTGATTATGTGGAAAAAGTAACTATTCTGGGAAATGTCCTGTCTTAGTAGGAGTGTTAATGTCACAGGTCCAGACAAATTCCCATATGGATATATTTATATTCTGCCAGCCAAAGGTTACCTTAGAAACTAAGGAGTAAAGTAACATGGTGAATTTCCTATAGGAGAAAATTAAACTGAAAACACAGAGAATTACCTCTGCATAAAAGTACCTAACCTTGGAGAACTTTTCACTGTGTGAACCACATTTTATTTCACATTGCCTGAAGATAACAAAATGTTATCTGCTCCCTGAACATCTGTAGGAAAGGCAAGTGAAAACAAAGATTTTTAAAGGTTGCAAGGGACTCCCTTGCCTTTTCATTTGTTGGGTTTAATTGCTATCCTGAATGTGAGCCATCAAAGGAACCCATGCCATGAATTGAAGCCATATTGTTCCCCTGTGGGTACTTTCTTTCTTCATTTGATGGTATAAGCAAAGTCCTTTGTCCAACTCCTGTGGTCGGTCCATCTGTCTGGATGTTGCTGTTGTCACTGCTGCACATCTTACTGGTCTCAGGGGGTCTTCAGATTGTAATTTTATGCAAATTACTTTCCTGACAGAATCATTTCAGACCTGTAAGTTGCAATTCAGTGCTCTTCTTGTGAGTGGACATGAAGCAAAATGCAAAATGATTTTCAAGAGCAAGCTGTTCCCCAGTGTTATTTTGCTTTGCTGAGGATGACAGAAGATCAAATGCTTTGCATCTCCTCTACACAGTGGCAAGTATGAAGATACAGAGCCACTGTGAAGGACAGTCTAGTTTGTTAGCCATCCCAGGTTAACACTCCTACTTTCTCTGTTTGGAACAACCCTGTGACCAGACTGGTCATAGAAGCTCTGGGCAGAAACCAGGCTTTGGGACCTGAAGTGACTGGGATAGCTCCTCAGACTTCTGTGTCTCTACTTCCCACTCATTTTCAACAAGTGTGATGCTGGCTGGGCTGTATCCATTAACGGTGGCTATCTCACTAATGCAACATGTCTAGAGCCTGGGTTGAAAAGCAAAGTGTGAAGCAGCTCCTGAGAACTTGGTCCCCTGAAGGTCCCACTGGAAAGCAGCTCTTACTGTGACCATCAGACCATTGCCTATATCTGAACAGGAGCTTCCTGAGCTGCCCTGTGATGACTTCTTGAGCTTCCACCAGTAAGCAACCAGGTTGGTTGCACTTCAGTGGGCAACTTGCATTGCTGCTAGGTTGTCTACCCTACTCACTCCCTTAAACAATGAAAGAAAATGGCGTACAAGGAAACTGAGAAGCTTATGAGGTTCACAAGAAATAGTTAAGGTGGAGTGTCCCCATGTAAGGCCATGGTCGTGCAGATGAGGTCATGTGGCATGCTGAAGTGATACCTGATCAAAGATGTCCATCTCCTAGATGGAGTTCTTCTAATGGACAGCCTAGGCCATCCATGACTAAAGTGCTTGTATGACCATAGCAGCTAAATTAGGCACTTAAAATAGGGACCTGGTGTGGATCTTCAGCATCCCTCCTATGGAGGGATCCAGGTCTTTCAGCCCCAGAGAATAGGTTGAATCTCTTCTTAATTTACTGATTTCTGAGTCTACCTTAATTTCCCTTATATATAACCTAAATACAGCACAGATCCATCAGGAGACCACAGGCATATAAAGTTTAAGTTTTTTCTCCAGAAAGATCTAGAGCTGCCATAAGCTGAGCACTGTGATGCCCATGACCAGAAGCTTTCCAGCAGCCTAAAGCATACATTCCTCTGCTGATGTCACCCAAGGGATGGGTGGGAGGGAAGTGGAATAAGGCTTCATTACACTGTTATGTGACAGAGGAGGTTCTAGGAACTAATGGAAATGTGGGAAGAAGAAGTGTGCACAGAGAGAAACACTTTTGATTTGATTACAATAGAAAATTTATTTTGCTTCATATCATACTGAAAAATTAAATAAATAATATGTCAAAGAATGATTGAGTGAGACTCCCCACCATCAGAGAAAAAAACCCAAACATTAGCATAATCAATCAGGTAGTTAAAGGAAAATAGGAAGAAAATCTGGTCATGGGAGAAAAAAAATGCTCAAGAGATTTGGCTTTGGTAAAAAAACATAACACACACTTAAGGAGTGTTTCAGAGCCTTTGCAGTGGTGGCAAAAACAGTCCAAGAGTTTGAAGCCTTGACATGTTGCTAAATGGTTTCCTTTGTTGTTCTTTTAAACAAAATATACCCAGAAAATTTCTAGCAGGAACACAGGCTTCAACATTGGCAGTGGGAATTAATTCTTCCCTCAGCATCGTCTATTGGTATCTCCTCATTCTGAAAGCATTTGAAAGAGCAGCAAAATTGTGGAGAAACTGAGACAAAGACCTAACACAACAGTCAGTTGCCTAAAGGACTTTAGAAAAAGTTCCTCTGGAATATAAATGTGATGGCACAGACTATCCCTCATCCTACAGCTAGAAAGGTCCACTCTGCTCTCTTCACGCTCTGAAAAATGGACACCACTGGTACACAGTTACTGCCTGTTGTCAGCAAGAAAATTAAATAGGAATTGCAGCTTGTTCCATGATGAAGACACTAAATCTATCCCTGATAGTATGAGCCACGATGTTTCATATGTGCTGTCAGAGGCAGAATATTCAGGGGAAAATTGGAAATTTGATTTGGACAGCAAAAGGAAACTTTCAGAACAACACAGACTAGAAGACAGCTGATTTTTTTTATCACTTTCTTTGATCTCAAACTGCCACCTGTGATTAAAAAAATCAATGGGAATTGAGTACCAAACCACCATGAGTTTTCTTCCAAGTCTTTCTAAAAATGACTGAAACAGCAATGAAGTGTTTCTGAATTACTGACATCTGTCCATGAGGAAAAAAAAAAAAGAAATATTTGAAGTTCAGGATGAAAAAAATATCTCCAAAATCCAGCCATAGGGTAAAGATACCATTGGGGTCTTCCATGGAGTCTTTTTGATCTTAAAGTTGTTTTGCTTATATTACTGTGACATCTTACTAGAAGGATATTGTTTAACAACAATTTGAACAGTGGGAATGCTTAAAACAAACAAACATGGTTCAGGTAGAAATGTTTCATACTTTTACAAAGGACATGTAGAAGACAGTAACCCCACTGAATTTGCTGCGCCTGTGACATGCAGGTGAGTTCTGCTGACCACCATGCTAGCAAAGGGCTTCTTGATATGAGGATCATGACCAGGTCTCAGCATGAGGATTTGAAAATCCTGCCCTTTCCATATTGCTAAACTGAAGGGTCATGTGTGTACAGCAAAGGGAGCTCAGTTGCGCACACAGATATTTGGCATCCTCATCTCTTTATACGCTGTGAGTCCAGTAATACTCATGCGAGTAAAGCAGTCCATGTTAGCGAGTGGTGCTGTGGCCCAAAATACATATGTTCCAGCTGACCACACCATTGTGCTGTGAATTCCTGCCTTGGAGGGGAGATCACTGTTAACTGGCACAGAAAGACAAGGGGATAAATCTTGGACTGAAACACATCACTGGTCAAAGGGCTAGGCTTTCACTGAGCTCAAATACTCTTCTGGTTGGACAGGCTGCCACAACTTGGTTCATGAAAGAGGAGTCATTTAGATGATTTCTAATTTGCCACAAACCCCAACCATCATAATTCATTAAAAATGAAACATGCCATTTTTTCCAAGCCCGATCTAAAGTCCCTTGAAGTCTGTGGCAAGAACTCCATTGGTTTCACCAGAGCTGAAAATGGGTCAAAAATCCATAAATCCTATTTTCATGATATTGGGAAGAAAAAAACCACTGTTCCCCATTCTTCACTACCTGAACTTTGTTCTTGGATTCATACTTTATCTGTCTTTGAGGATTAAACATGTTGATTCCAGCAAAAATCTGTGGATATAAAATCTCCACTGTCACTTCCCTCCTTTCACTGCCTAGAGGCACTGACATTAATACACTCATTCCTCCAGAGATGCACATAATTCTGAAGTCTGGCTTACACTATAGGATCAGCTTGCGTAGATTGTGTCCTTGTGGATGTTGCTACAGGGCAGAAGATTCTTCTTGTATTGTTAGCTGATATCCCAACCCATGATATTTTTTCCATTTCAAATAGTGACCTTGCAAAGAGATTTGTAAAAAAATAAGAGGAAAGGTTTCCTTGGAACTTTTGGATATTTCCCCATAAAAAAGGTAAAAGCTACCTTTAAAAATTAGTCTTGTGTTTGCTCAAATATAATATAGGAGCTGTTATTGTTTCTGATTACAAAAGTATACCACATGGAGGCTAGACTTTGGTTAATTTTTCCCCCTTTTATAAAAAAGTTTAATTTAAGTTTGTCATCTCTAAAAAAAAAAAAAAAATCACATCTGTTGCACAGTTATAAAAGGCACATATAAAAGACTGAAAGAAAAAACTCCACTTTCCAACCTTAAACTGATTAAATATAAATGAGCATTCCAGAGTATTTTCCACAAAAAAAAAAAAAAGAAATCAAAATTATATATAGCCAAACCAGAAAAACATACAAGTGGCTAAAAAGGCCTTTTTTTTTTTTTTTTTTCCTGCAGTTTTCAGTATTGTTTTCTCTCTCATTATGGCTGTATAGGAAGCAATATTAAATAATATATGATCAGAGATGATTTGATCCATATTTTCTAGATGCTATCAATGCAGAATGAGGCAATGGCTGAAAAATTTACTACTCCAGGCAACTTCTTCATGTTTTTGCTTAATACAGCATGAAACCAGAAGTAATAGAGGAAACAGAAGAGACAGTTCAAAAAGAAGATCAACAGCAGAAGTGAATTCATTTCTTTGAGGTAATCCTTACTGTGATGTTCACAGCTGCCTTAGCAGGTCTCAAGTCCCAGAAGTAGTTTTCACTATTCTTCAAGGATCTCCTGCCTTAGTCAAGGAAAGAACAGACAAACAGCAGTTCCTGTGCCCAGGTTTCCCCTAATAGCAACAGGCAGATCTTTTTTTTTCCTCAGTAATTCAAGAATCAAGCCGTAGAGCCTAAGCAGAGATTCATTTATTCCCACAACTGATTGGTAGTTCCCAGCTATCTGTAGATAGGAAATTACATGCAGCGTGGAAGCCGGTCCTCGGTTGAGCTCCTTGCGGTGAGCATTGCAGCAGCGAGACACTCTGAATCCACTGCAGATTCACGCATTCAAACCTGGCTGGCGCCCGGATCATCTTCATTGAGCTTTGTTCTGCTGCACGTTGGAAATTGCAGCCCCCACTTCTCCCCATGGCCAGGGTCATCTGCCCTTGAAAAAATTTATTTTTTCAATGGAGGCAAGAGTCAAAGTTACATTGAACTCAAAATCCCCGTCATGGACACCTGTCTTCCGGAAAGCCCCAGCTGAAACATTGTTTTCCCAGTAATGATGCCAGTGTCCTTTGCTGTCTGCTCCAAAACCATACACATTCACCTAGGAAGTAAGAGAGAACTAGTATTATGGCCTGGAAAGCAATTGGTCTTCATCTGAAATGCTGAAGAAAGTCTCTTCATTCTCAGTTTATCTATAGGCAGCAACACCTGAGGACCTCGGAAGTGTGCCAGGTTATTCTGCTGCATGAGATGATGCAACTACAGAATAACAGCCCAAGGCCTACTCAAGGGACATTACATCCTAATCTATGCTGAGACCACCACCATACCTGAACCCAGGCAGAAAAAGAAATTTCTATCCATGAATTCTTGTTTAGCAATATGAAAAACACATTCCTGTCCCCTAAGCATGATGTTTAACCTCAGGAGGTCAGTGGCTTGGGATGGGAAATCTCCTCTTTAGTTGACTAAGGCTACAAAGAGTGGAAAAATTTTGGTGTTACTCCTAGTCTTCCAAATGACAACCATGTTGACCCCACCTATATGCTTAATTATATGACATTTGCAGTCATGTCAGAGGCAGATAGACATTAAGTTCTTTGTCTGTATACTCATATGGCCTTTTCTCTCCCAATGGCTGATTTATTGATGGCTATGCTTGTCTCATCTGGTGGTAAAAAACAAACAACAGTTGACTTATTTAAACTGAGAGTGGTGATATGGCTGGGTTTGAATGGGTCAGAGCCCACAAAGCAAGAGCCGTAACCCACCCACGCCTGGACCCACCCAAGTACAAGTTTGTTTTAAGTTATTTTTGGTAATGTCAGAGCCTTGCTCATTGCCGGCTTACCAAAAAACAGGCTCCACCCAAGCCGCCCATGCTATCTGCCTTGACTATGGTACAGTTTCTGCCAGCACCATTAAGATTATTTCCATCACTTCTCCAAGCAACACAGGCCTAGGTGACAAAAGCTCTCTTTCATCGGCAGATCTGTGTCCAGGCCAGGGATTTTGCCAGCATAGTGATTTTTATCCCCCATGCTGACAAGCCCATGCCCATGCTTGCAGGACTTTGCAGAGCTGACCTGACCTTACACTAACTAGCTGTCTCCTATCACCTGGGAGCACCTCACATCACTCAAGCCAGAGAATCTCCTCAAGTAACTGCTGGAGCAGAGGCATTTACCATAACCTACTGTGTAAACCCACAAGCTTGCGTTTGAAAATAGACCATCTGCACTCCCCAAATTGGCTTATGTAAGAGCTGATCATCGAAGTTCTTCAGGTGGGACTACGTTTAAGATTTAGATATCTAAATGGAGGTGCCTGAGCATCCATTACAGTCAGTGGCGATTGAGGCAGCACAGTCAGTGGAAACCATGGAGCCATCCTGCTCTCCTAATGTCTTAACAGGAGGTTGGTTTGCTGAATCAGCCTCTTGGCTCCACTAATTAGACAGATAAGACCTCAATGCAGCTGCCCAAACTTAAATGACATTTGACATATCCTTGTGTACTCATCTACTCATGGCAGGCAGATGTCACACAAGGCCAAGAGATTCATACTTTATGGCCCGGCAGCAGGAGGCAGAGGGCATGCCCAGGGCAACACCAGTGGCTCTAGGTGCCTAAACAGTGAGACAAAATATAGTTTGGACTTCCACGAACAAAATGGGCATGGACACCATCCATATTTAGATGTCTTTTAATGCCAAGTGGAATCTCACTCTTTATGTTTAATTATATTGCCCTGGAAGGCATCTTAAACCCTACCACTTGCTGACATTAAAAAATCAGTCACTGTCAGTTGAGCATATCTGCATGTTACTGAGGACTCTGCACCTCTTTGAAGAAGCAAACAGCAGAGAAGAGGGAGAAGGGGAAATAAAGGCTGAGTGAGTGGCCAGGGCATGTTCCTGGCACTTCAGTATGATATGTCCTGATTTTTTTATCCATATATCCAAACACAGCCAGACCTCATCGCATACATGGAGTGCAAATATCAAAGACAGAAAGCCTGTGGAGGGGTATCTCCCATGATGCTGGAGCCAGTTTTCATAGACGTATTTCATAAAAGTTGGATTATAAAACAGGATCTAGGGAAAATTGGAGAGAAACACTCATTAGTAAAATATCCTGGGAAAAAAACAACAGTAGCTTGTCATCCCTAAAGGACACTGGGGTAGGGGAAGAGGGGGAGAAAGGAATAATAGTTATTACCTGAGGGCAGGTGAAAGGGAAAAATAAAGTCCCATAGTTAAGTGCATTCAAGAATATTTCCCATGTGCAATTGCACATGAATATTCCTTTCTTGGTCTTGATACCCCACCTGCTTACACTAACATAAATCTTGGGTGATTCCTACTAAAACCAATGGGTATGAAAAAGCACAAGTGAGAAGAAAGTTAGGCATTCAACTCTCCCTGCAGTGTCCTGCTGTAATGCAGGTGAGCTCTGGGGAGTTGGAGGCCTGAGCAAGCAAGTATAAGATGCCATGCCAGATTTCATAGAATCACAGAATCATTTAGGCTGGAAAAGACCCTTAAGATCATTGAGTCGAACTGTAATTTGGGTGGGAACGTAGGAGCAACTGCATGTTCTGCACAATATGCCAACCATGTCTTGATATCTCTATAGGTACAGATCTAAGGAAACCAGGGGTCAGGTGTAAACTATCAGGAAGCCTATCAGGTTGCATCAACTGCATTTCTCCTGTTTCTCAAACAAATTTCTCCTGTTTCCCCTATTTTTCTATGTTGTTTTTTTTTTTTTAAAAGATATAAATTGCATTTGGTTATCTCCTGGGGAAATTATGAGGCCATCTAATGGCCATAGAGCACTTCAGATCAGATCTAAGTGTACAATAAATCCAAGGACTGGTAGGAGCCCTTGGTTTCAACCCTCTTCCCTGAATCAGGCAAAAAGAGGCTTTTCCCTCCGTGCTGCGTTTGTAATTAGAGTGACAACATTTCAGTGCTATCTGGTTAGCCGCAGGGCTTTTCCTTTTACAAAGTCAGAGGTTAATTGCTGATATTGTGTCTGTGTGTAATCGCTTCTCACAGGGTGTTTTGCATTACATGGTGTGGGAAGAAATACAAGATTCTCATCTCCCTGCTCGGGAAGCTGCTGTATATCACCAGCTGTATCCTGGGCTGGTGCTACTCAACTGTGACGCGAGTTTAAAAACCTACGGTAGTGCATCTCACAAGGGTCTTGCAGAGGTTAATGTGCTCCTCACAACAAGTAGGGATGAGCTAAGTGATTATTTAATACCCCCAGAGGTCCATGGTTTGAAGCACAGGGATATAAACTGATACTGGTTAAAGGTCTCATCTGAAGCCTTTGGCAAAACCTGGCCACCTGAATGAAGGACATGTGCTTTAACCTGTAATTTTAATGGTCTGGGACTAATGTCATACTTTACCAGCCCTTGAGACATTAGGAGCCTGAGCTCCTCTGAAAATCAGCCTCTCCAAAGGCTGAGAAAATGAGACTTTTATTTTGCCGGAAGGCCTGTGGAAGAGGAAACATCTTTCATCTTTTACCTTTCCTTACATGGCCTGCCTTGGTTATGTCCTCAAACCATGCAGCTACAACAACAAAAGTCTTTGCACAGTGGCTAAACATGCAACATGGGAATGACCATCCTGTCCCATGGGAAATCCTGCCTCCAGCAGTAGGGCATGTCTATAAAACCACAGCATACTTGAGCAATGAGTCAGTATGCATGGGATAGACTCCCTTCTGACTGCTGTAGGGTGGGCACCAGCTTTGTCCATCTTTCTTTGACCTTCTCAGAAAACTGAGATCCCCTGACTGAATGCCTTCTACACATCCATGCTATGAAAAATAAAATGGGTCAGAGCTGTTTGTTTAGCCTTGAGGGAAGTGGCATGGCACAGATCGTGTCCACATTGCTCAATTCTGTGCAAAACAGGGAATATTCCCTGGTCTGTGCTATCTTCCAAACCTTGCTTGAACAATGCCTGGGAGAGTATTAATACACTTGGGACAAAATCAGCATGGACTTGGCCTGAGCCCAGTCTCCAGGCTTGTTTAATTGGGTACAGGCAGTTATTACAGCTGTGGGCTAAGAGCCTTCCCCAAGAGCCATTGATACCATCTTGAATTCTCCACTGACTTGAAAACGCACAGCTTTATTTGTTCAGAGTTGACTTAGCTCTATATTACAAGGAACTGACCCAAGAGTGAGAAACATCCTGGATAGTCAAATTATTTTTAAAAAACTCCAAAGGCTCTCCACAGGTCAAAGCGCCATTACATCTAAATGACTTCAACGTGTGGGAACAGAGCAACTGCTGTGGAGGGTGAGCACAACTGGCCAACTGTGCACCTTAATTCTCCCTGAGCAGTACCAGAGGAAGCAACGTGACCTTCAGAACAATGGTAATGCAATGGCATAGTCACAAGAGCAGTTTCTTTCCAACCTCAGTTATTTAGTTGTTGATCTATGGCCTGAATAGCACACAGGAGCTAAACCTTTAGCTTAGCTGAGCCTTGTAAAATGTGTATTCTGGTTGCAGTTTTTATGAATGTCAAGGGGTTCCTTGGATTCTCGCAGTCTCCAAAAGAGGCAAAAGACCTACAAGTAGATTAGAAAAACAAATTCACAAATCAGCATTGCTCACCTTTTCTTTTTTGACTTTGATTTTCCGTGGAACTGGAATGTATGTGCTGTTAGAAGAAAAAGAACACCACCAAGATTAGTCAAAACCCAACATATTAATATTTTCCTGTATTTCCAAAGAAAGAAAGAATGTTCTTCATGTACAGGAATAAATTCAAATTATTTGAAAGCAATAAATTCAATAAATTGTTGGAAAATGAGGCTGCAATTAAGTAATACAGCATGAAAAGGACTGAGGTATGACTGAAGCAAGTTTATAGGAAGCCATTACATTTTTAAATTTTCAGGTTAATTATTCACAGTAGGACACCAAAGATTTAGTTGGAAATATACTGTAAAGTCAATATTATGTGGAGCCCATGACTTCTAATTCTTGGCCTATGACTGTTGCAGTCTTTGCACTTTGATGATGGGAAGGGTTTTCCATTTGATTTCATGGCAGAAAAAACTTTTCCCACCAGGGGGAGACTCTTCCCCTCCTAATACTTCTAGCTAGTGCACGATTTTCAAAGTAGGTGGTAGTAGAGTTCATAATTTCTGTGGTTATGTGCGACTCTGGCATTCCCAATACACAGCCTCTCACCAGCAAGCTATTCCCCTCCTCCCAGGGGGATGCTGAAGGCTTCCTGCTGTTTCCAGCATAAAACTTCCAAGTCATACCTTATGACTGGGTTGAAATCACAAGTCGTGTCTTGAAAACAAAAAAACCTTTTCTTCCCTGGATCTCATGCACAGTGCATGCTGGCATTGCACAGCTCATCATGAGTGCTGTAAAAAAAAAAATCTCCCTGAGTTTGTTTCAAGTGAGGAAATTCTGAACTGGCCTTGTAACTAGACTATATCCCGAAATATACCCTGCATACTTTTTAGATGGGTTGTGATAAATCACCAAAACCTTCTATTAATTTAGCCTAAAAGTTTTTGATTCATTTTTGGTAACAACAACATTCCTGTGATTAACATTCTAGTTCTCTTTGAACCATGGATCATCAGCGCTTTGAAACATTAATCTAAGTCTTTCCAAACCAGCGGTGACCTGGCAATGTCCTCATCTCTTTAAGTACTTCTGGGCATCTCTGACCTTAGATCTCTGCCACAGGCTGGATGCAGTGGAAGACGTGATGGGTGGGTTCCAGCCCCCCAAGATCTGACAAGAGATGCTAACGGGGAAAGGGACACCCATGCAGACTTCTTAATCTGCCCTCAGCAAATCTGCCCTTGCATCTGCTTCCCATGCCTAACCTTGGTTAGCAAAGTCAGTAGAAGTAGGATTGGTGATGCCATGTCCTTTTTGTGGTTGTGAAGACATAAAGGGCTTCTTTGCTGGTAAAATATCCTCATTATTACATAAATAAACAGCCAGTCTTTTCTGAAAAGGTGATGTGGAGGAAACAGGAGGGCCATATTTCATGGACATATAGCCAAATATAGTAGAAGACCAAAGTGAATGGTATGCAATATTCAAGACAGTATTTGCAGACAGCTCTAATCCAACCAGGAGACTATTGTAGCTCTTGTCAGATGACATGTTAGTCATTTTAATCATGGGATATTTAATTTTTTCAGAAGCAATACCTAAGTCCTGCTGTCACTTGGCTGCAAAATTTCACACAACCACACGGAAAGTATTGGCACACTGATTAAGACCAAATGGAGACCTATGCCATTATGATCATGTAAAAACTAGGCTGCATAGCAACCAGGGAGTTCAGGAGTCAGTAAATACCACACAGGAGCAGGACAAAGAGTGAAGCCTGTGAAGAAGGTGGCTACAGGTGGAATTCATATAATCTGGAAAACGTCTTCTATGAGCCACTTGGCAAGGCTCTAGTGAAGTGTGCCGGCATCAGTGGCCACCTTGTACAGGACATTTACTGTACTGTTGACCCAAGTGGAAGATGTGGAATATTTTAAGGAATACAAAAATTGCTCTTTGCCAAACCAAGTGGAGATACATGGAGCTTTTTTCACTATGGAGATTCCTAGAAGACTTGCAGAAGGCGAGTTAATGCAACTCGGCTAACTATATGACTGATGAGGGCCTGAAGGTTTTCTGTCCCAGAAGGCTTTTCTTGGTCCTTTCTGGGACCATGCTCAGTCTTAGCGAACCACTTTAAAATGGGACACCCATCAGTCAAATGGGACATGTCTGAGAGAATCATTCAGCTAGCCATTCAATCTAATATTAACACCATCTGCGGTTTGGCTTTTCTTTTGAACCATAGTACAGGATGCTTATCTTTTTTAAATATGAGTGCACTAAGGTGAGTATTTCTTCTCTTCTAAAATAATGAATTTCACATGGGTTTTATTTTTATTTCATGCCTTCTCCCCTTTACAAATGTATAGTCAACAATTTCCTTATACACTGTATCAGACATCGTGTGTTTAATGCATGCTCATAGGTTTATTCTGCTAGCCTAAAATTATGTTAAATGTATTGTTATAATTTGTGTGCTTATGGTTTTCTGGGTTTATTGCTCCAGTATGTGCCAGCTTGTTAATTATGCAATTTTCCTGCTCTGAGTATGGCAAAAATCTTAAAATACCGGTATTTCTTCCATGGGGTTAAATACTCACACACTAATTTATACCAGATGCTTACCAAACCCATGTATAGAATCTAGTTATAAATATATAATATAACCTGTAATTCACTAAGCAAAGATATTTTTCCTTTCATGTGCTGTGACTGCCTTGTAGTTAACCAGTTATATCTTCCTGACAGGCTAAGGACTCACTCAATTTTACCGCTGCAAACCACTTGCTGCCACTTCTTAAGGTAAATACTCAACAAAAAATAGTGAACAGCTTTGTAATCTGGGCACAGAGCAGTGACAGTGATGGAAACATGGATGGGTGACGATGGCAGCAACTGGTCCTCTGTGGGCCCCTCTTCCTAGTGCAGGCATGGGTTTGTCAACGATGCAGCAAGGGCCTTCATTCAAAGGCCACTGAAGGCAGCTGGGAGCTTTCCATTGCTTCTGATAGGATTTGGATCCAGGCTTAAGGGCAGAGGTTATCAACCTTGTTTATCAATACAGCTTCTAAAAGAAAAAAAACCCTAAGCCTTCCAAAAAAGGTGACATTTTTAAGCCAATTTTCTAAGTGGGCTGATTTTTCCAAGATACAAGAGTGTCCTGAAGATGGACTTTTTCAGGACAACTTATGACTGTATATACTAAATTCTGGTGGCAAAAAAGGAAAAAAGAGATGAAACCAGATTTGTTACAAGTTAAGAGGATCTTAATAAGAAGTGAAAAGAATCTAAAATGCATTTGCAAAGAGAGAAAAGAAAAAGAAAAGAAGAAATAAAACTCCATTTGTTGTCCCATCAAAAAGTATTCCTTAAAAATGTGAAGCGTCTCTTATTCCCAGTCAGCAGGGACATACTTTTACAAGTTTTTAATCTTCTGAGACTCTGAAATTGGGAACAAAGTTGAAATGTCTTGAAATACTTCTCTCTGGAATAATCTGATCTGCTGTTGCTGTCTATGTGTAGCAGGGTGCCACTGAACAATCCCACCAGGCTGTGGCTTTACATCCCGCAGATAATCTCACACACAGTACAGATGTCACGTATTTCATTCTCTGGATTAGGAAAAGACATCTTATAGGAAGGCAGAGAATCTCCTAGGCAGCATCCTGAAGAAACGTGTTTTGTTCACATTTCTAATTCTAGCGCTGCCATAAATGTATTAAGTAGGACAACATTTACATCTGAAAGCACAAAGAAGAAATGGAGAATAAATACCAGTGTGGCACATTATTGCCAGGTAAAGTGTGTTGATTTAAAGCTAAGGCACACAGGTGACACACAAAACAGCACTGTCTCCTTTGCACGGCTCTCAAACACCTTCCACCAGGAAAGACGGACAGAACTCCTGACTGACCTGTCCAGGGGAGGATGCTGTGGATGGGGGACTAAGTGTCCCAGTCTGCTTCTGCTCTCACTGCTTTCCGTGAGCAGCCTGCACATCCTGCTCTGCCTCCTTGTCCTCTTCTGCAAGCGGGATAATATATGTTGGAGGACCACTTGGCCACCCAAGTGTCTCAGGTGGGATAATCCAGGTGTCTAGGGCCACTGCTGAATGAATAACCTGCCAAACATCTGATTCTGCAGATGGCTTTCTGATGGGTACATCTGGGTACAGGCATGCTGGCTGTACCCACTGTACTCCCAAGGGACTGGAGAGGAGGAAGGATGAGCAGAAGCCCAAAATGAGGCACTGAACCCCAAAGCCCAGGAAGCCACTGCTCAAACTGGCTGCCTCCAGCAGCAAAAAATCCCCCTTTCATTTCTCTGAGACCACTGTGTGGGGCTGTGAAGAGCTGGATCTGGATCTTCGCGTCAAAGACTGCACCATAACATTAAGCTTTTCCTAGAAAGCAAGTGTTCAGTACTGAACCATGTCCTGAGAGGGTCTGTAAAACTCCCCTAGGCCTTATCAGAAGCGGGGACTTGCCCAGCGTGGGCTTTTCTGTCCTACAGCAACATGTGGGGGCTCCCATCCCTTCAGCCTGCCCACTCAGGGCTGCCCTTACTCACAAGTTGATGGTGCCTGTGGTGAGAGCGGTGACAACCCAGTGCAGGTCCAGGGTTTTGAAGGGGATCAGGATCATGCTCACATTTTCTGCCAGCTCTTTGTAGCTCTCGGGGTAAACGAAGTGGTGAGTGGTCTTGCTCCCAACATCTGATTCGTAGCCAGTGGTGGGGGCACGGTTCATTCTGCAGCCCAAAAGTAAGAAGTGAGAGTGTGAGAAAGCGGAAGAGGAATTAGGTAGGAACAAACATGTGTGAGTCTTCTCCAAATCATTTGCTTGAGGTGGCAAGAAAATACTCCCATGGCTAAGGATAGTGCTGGATGCAGGCTTTTCAGACAGCCTTGACAGGGTGTAGTGGTCCTCAAACAGGCTGAAATGACCATCACCCATAATGGATAAATTAAAAGTAAATGAAAGCTCAGCTTTAGTGTGGGATTCCTTGGACTGAATGAGGGTTTCTGCCAAGCAAGGGTATTTCTGAGCACATCCCTGGGTTCCCTTTACAGTCAGCAGAGAGCTGGTCAAAAGATGAGTCCATGAGGACACATCTCCTTTCATCCTAAAGATGAAGCCTCCATTAGGTGAGAAAAATACTATCCTGAAGTCCATCAGCTTGACTTCTTGCAGTTTCATTCCCCCCATCTGTACAGATGTATTTGGATGTTTAGGGTCAAGGTAAAAAAACATGTTATGTGTGACAAGAAGCACAAATATTTCTTATGGTCCTCCCATGAAAAGGCACCAAAGCCACAGTGACACATCCAGGACCTGCTGCTGACACTCCATTTACTCAAACCTTACTTTGTAGTATGTCCCCCAACTTCACTACCTCTACTTAGGGCTGCTCCGCACACACATGGAGTGCTTTCAGTAGCCCTGAGGCCAGTGAATGGAGGTCTGCACAGGGCCCACCAGGGCTCAGTCAAAACGTGTTGGCCAAACATGTCTACCTTATGTTGGATGTATCAGGGAACAGGGTACAGAGGGCATTCTGAACTCAGGACTGCAGAAACAACTCTACGCATGTGTTCTCTCCTGAAAGCAAATCTGGGGACACATCAGCAGTTCCCTCAGTTGTGCATTAGCTCACTGCTAGTAGAGATTTGCATGTTTCTGTGGTGCAGTGTAATGCAGATTAGAGATCCCCAAAGTGGCTCTGACTGACCTTGCATGAATCCATGGTGCTGTGCAACACCATGGAGAAACCCCCAAGCTGGCTCTGAGCAGAATGGGGTTTCTCTGCAACCCAGTGGAGTCTCCTGCAGAGACGTTAGCTCAGCTCCTGGCAGAAGTGCAGGGAGGAGAAGGGAGGATGTAGCTGACGAGATGATGAGTATTGTACATTGCCAGACAACAATGTTGCCCTGGTCACTGATAATGGGGGAGGTAAAATCTGTTTATCAAGTCTATGCCAGGCCATGTTATTGCAGTGCCCCCCCAGGTGAACTACTTAAGTTTAACTCCCTCAAAGGGAGTTATTAGCATAGCCAGACTATCCTGCCAGCCTGTGAGGACTTGTTATTGAGTTAGCCTCTTCCCTGCCAGCGACCCACATTGTACTGTGTAGAAATACTCAGTAAAGCATGAGACTTACTATGTTTTATCTTGAGATTAGTCAATCTGAGGTATAAAATATGGGGTTTTCTTTCCATCAGGACAAAGACAAGGGTCTTTGGAAAAATTTCTTCACAGAAAGGGTAGTCAAGCATTGGAACAGGCTGCCCAGAGAGGTGGTGGAGTCACCATCCCTAGGGGTGTTCAAAAAACGGGTAGACGTGGCACTTCGGGACATGGTTTAGTCTAGTCTCCCCTTGATTCGTTTAGTGTGGACTTGGTAGTGTAGGTTAATGGTTGGACTGGATGATCTTAAAGGTCTTTTCCAACCTAAACGATTCTATGATTCTATGTGGCATCCTAGTTATCTTACTCACACTCTGCCCTGAGGTCTATGTACCTTCCCCACCGTCTATGGTGGGGCTGCCTGCGTGGCATGGCAGAAGGCAGCATACACACTCAGTCTGAGCAGGAAGGACCAAGAAGGAATTTCCTTCCATTATGAAAGCGGATAGTTAAATGAATAAAAGTGGGCTGGAACAGAGTGTTTGGAAGGAAAGGTGTCCCCTCAGACTCCCTGGTTCTTCCGCATGCTTGGCTGTATTGCCAGAGCATGTGCAAGTGAGTATACGGTCACCAAAGATTTTGTTTGTTTGATTAACGCATAGAGCAGTCACCTTCTCTGCACAAGTTTCCACAGTGAATCCTAAAACCTTGTGCCATTTCTTCAGATCTGGCTTGAGATCCCTAAAATAGCAATAAGGACCTGGAAGGTTCAATTTCAAATCATTGATGGTTTCTCCCTTGCCAGGGATGCACGGCTATGGAAAGGGTTAGGCCTCAGAGCAGAAACCTGCATCCAAGTGTGTTATTCTTTAGTTACTAATCAAAAAAAAAAAAGCCTTTGAGTCTAGCAAAGCTTTTTCTGCATGAATCTGGAAACATAGGCCAGGCAAGATAAGAAAGTCCACACAGGAATAGGGATGTCTCCGTAGGAGGGACACAGAGTTAAGCATAAGTGCACCGGAGCTGCCTCACATTTGCAGCCTTCAGGATTGATGTGGAGGGCTCTTCACTTCCCTTCATGGATCTGAAGACCAGGTCAGCTGCCTCTGCCTTTGGGAAGGCACTTTTGGCAGAGGGCAAGGCATGCAGATGAAGGAAGCCACTCCTGAAATGATTTATCATGAACATTTAGATGTCATCTAAAGACTCTACACTGTGTCCAAGCCACATTGGAAGCCAAGCGGCTTAACAGTTCAAATAGTGCTCATCTTCTGCTGTTTCACTCTTGACTTCAGTGCACAGCTTTCTGCTAAAGGTTATGTTGTTTCTGAGAGTATAATCCCACATGTGGCATTTTCAATAGCAATCCTTCTCTTCCAGGGCCTCTGACCTGCCCTGTGTTGCTCCCCAAATTGTGCTGTACTGGCAGCTGCAGTGTGAAAGCTGGACAACAAGTTGGAGATGAACTTAGTCAGTCCAGATATCTTGGCTGCCCTCTGGGTGATTAGCTCTACTTACCTAGTTCCCACTTGCATTTCAGTGGGACAAAATAGCCAACCTTCATTGCCTTGAAAAAAAGAGGAGGTGCAACCCTTCACAAAGTAGCTGCAGCCAACCACTTGTCTCCTGTCCATTGCAAAGTGACTTTGGCTTTCCCACCCCACCATTGCTTAAGAATGAACTCGTGTGAGAAAGTAATATCTGATAGAGCCAATTAGGTATGTAAAAGATCACTTGTGTGTACCAGCTGCAGAAATAACTTTTATTCAAAACTTCAGTTTTTTTCAGCTATATTTTTTAATACAGTGTTGTGGTTTAACCCCAGTCGGCAATTAAGTACCACACAGCCACTTGCTTGCCCTCACCCCCGGTGGGATTGGGGAGAGAATCATGAAAAAAAAAAAAGTAAAACTCGTGGGCTGAGATAAAGGCAGTTTAGTAGGACAGCAGAGGAAGAGAAAATAATAATAATAATAATAATGATAAAAGAATATACAAAGCAAGTGATGCACAATGCAATTGTTCACCACCCACTGACCAATACCCAGACAGTCCCCAAGCAGCGATCGCTGCTCCCCAGCCAGCTCCCCCCAGTTTATGTACTGAGCATGACGTCACATGGTATGGAATAGCCCTTTGGTCAGTTTGGATCAACTATTCTGGCTGTGCCCCCTCCCAGTTTCTTGTACACCTGGCAGAGCATGGGAAGCTGAAAAGTCCTTGACTAGTGTAAGCACTGCTTAGCAACAACTAAAACATCAGTGTGTTATCAACATTATTCTCATCCTAAATCCAAAACACAGCACTATACCAGCTATTAGGAAGAAAATTAACTCTATGCCAGCTGAAGCCAGGATACACAGTCAATTATGGATAGTGCAGAACAAGCTACAGAATCAACAACTATTTGTGGGGGGTTTTTTTGCAAGATAAAACATGAAGTCATATGTCCAACACACATTGTTTACATCCCTGGAAGTTAGACTTGACCAGATTCACTAGATAGCTCCTGAAATCTTGTTTGCTCACTTGTCCCCAAAAATACTGGTGAATCTTAAATAACAGAGACAACTGGAACCAAGGTGGTGCCTACTCACCTGAGCACAAAGTCATGGGAGTCAATATCTTGGCCATACTGAGACTGCAGAAGGTTCCCAGAGTTGCCCACAACAGCACACCGTCTGCACGTGTAAGTGCCTCGCTCCTGCAGTGGATCCCCATCCCCTGGAATGATTCCAAACAATTCCTTGAGAGTAGCATTAATATTCTTCGGAGTTTTCTCTCCTTGCAGTTTCTGTTAGGGAGAAAAATCACTCCAGGTTAGCAGTATAACTAGCTTTTCTGTGAGCAAGACGTAGCTTCAAATGTCTTCTCAAAGACCATTCTTGCATCTACCTGCAGACACTGTGTCCTGCAGTATGCATTACAAGGCTTTAGGTTGTGAGCAGAAGTGTGAAAAAAAAAGTGGAAAATCCCTTCCCATTGACTTTTTTAACTCGGCTCCCCTTTTCCCTTCCTTTTCCTTGGATTCCCTCACCTCCTCAGTTTCTATCTAGCCATGGTGGAACAGATCATGCATTCTACCCCAGGCTGACCTTAGCAGAATAAATGTTCCTCTGGTGTGTATAAGCCTAATCCCACTTTGGGCCAGATATCTTCTGTTAGGACATGTATAAGACTTCTTTTAACCCTCCTAGGAAGGACAGAAGAGTCTCAGGGAACCTGATGGAGCACAGAAGTGGCTGACACCCCTTCCACAAATTTTGGCATATGCCAGAAGTGGGAGTGGGAGACCTTATAGCTACTGTTCTGGACTGTGGAGGAACCAGCTGCTAATGGAATAGGAAACGAAGGTAGAGTTAGCCCTGAGGGTTGGAGATGTAAAATCATCTAAAAAATTCTCCAGGATGAAGAAAACCACCCGGACCTTGGTCATTGTGTCTGTTGCCATGGAGGCAAACTCTTTTGTAGCAGCTCTGTGGTGCATGGTGGAAACAATGGCTGGATTGGGAAGGTACAGGCAAGGTGCAGGGCAGGTGATGGTCAGACACTCCCTTTCTGGGTCTCTGCTGTCTGAGGGCTACTAAAGAGGTTGGAAGTGCTGGCAGGCTCACAAAAAGCATTGCCCACCCTCGTGGTGCCACTTGCTTGCAAGTTCACAAAGGGAGAACAGCTTCTAACACAAAATCTGCCAAAAGACTCTGCCCTTGGTCTGCCAGCCCAGGGCAAGGAGAGACAGGGAGGGAGAGAGGAGAAACACCTTTTCCCATGACTCTCAGCAATGCCTGGGGTAATTTGGCTTTAGTTTCCAATGCATTTCCCTTGACTGCACCAGGAACTGTTAATTTCTCCTGCTGTCTCTCTCTGTGTGACACACACAAACAGATGTATCAGTGTAATTTTTGTTTAAATTTTGTGCTGTCTCTTTGCAGACCTATGTAAAGCAACCTTATTTGCACTGAATTGAACAACAGGTCTGTGGAGCTCTGAGCTACAGGACAACATTGGGGCCAAGAGCTTGAAACAAAGAAGACAAAGAAATGTTGCATACATAGACGTAACCCCCCTGTTAATCCTTGCTAGCCTATATACTCTTATATGGACTGCACAAGGTGATTAGGATGCAAGGTAATTAGGATTCCCAGACAAGCACTGTCATTATTACCATGTATGCCACTACTCAGTGGATGGCTCAATTATTTAAGTGAAAAAGGTTATCTTCTTCTAAATCTGTGTGTGATGCTACAAACACATGTTCACATATCTAAACTCTTGTATATTCTTTATGAATCCAGTCTAGCCTGGTTTTACTCTGAATATACGAAAAACAATGTTAGAAAGCCTGCAGCCTTCAAAATAAATGGACACTTCATAGATGTCTTAGAGTGCAGTATCAGGTGTATAATGTAGAAAAATCCAAACTTCTTTAAAAAAGGAACTTATTTTGAGTTATTTGAACACGTATGTGCATACACCCATGTATACTCTCTCTTTGTAAAGGTAAACTGACTTGAACTGTCTTTAAGAAAGGAAAGGGAAAACCACCAAATGTGCACCAAAACATTTTTAAGAACGTAATTATTCTGGGAAAAAAAACCCAAAACCTATTCTTGAACTGATTTTGCCTGAGAGAATTCAGATGAGGAAGGTAATTTTCAGAAAATTCTAAGTACCTGAGCCCCCTTTTTAAGTTAAATTGCCTTTTCAGTCAGAATGATAGAATCAGTAAAGGACCTGGAGTATCGACTTCTGTTTGATGCATTGAAATAGTAAGAAACATTCTCTGGGTAAAAAACTGGTTGGGTGGCCGAGCCCAGAGAGTAGTGGTAAATGGAGTTAGGTCCAGTTGGCAGCCGGTCATGAGCGGTGTTCCCCAGGGCTCTGTTTTGGGGCCAGCCTTGTTTAATATCTTTATCGATGATCTGGATGAGGGGATTGAGTGCACCCTCAGTAAGTTTGCAGATGACACCAAGCTGGGTGGGAGTGTCAATCTGCTGGAGGGTAGGATGGCCCTGCAGAGGGACCTGGACAGGCTGGATCGATGGGCCGAGGCCAACTGTATGAGGTTCAACAAGGCCAAGTGCCGGGTCCTGCACTTGGGTCACAACAACCCCATGCAACTCTACAGGCTTGGGGAAAGGTGGCTGGAAAGTGCCTGGCTGAAAAGGACCTGGGGGTGTTGGTCGACAGCCGGCTGAGCATGAGCCAGCAGTGTGCCCAGGTGGCCAAGAAGGCCAACAGCATCCTGGCTTGTATCAGGAATGCTGTGGCCAGCAGGAGCAGGGAGGTGATTGTCCCCCTGTACTCGGCGCTGGTGAGGCTGCACCTGGAATCCCGTGGCCAGTTTTGGGCCCCTCACTACAAGAAAGACATTGAGGTGCTGGAGCGTGTTCAGAGAAGGGCAACAAGGCTGGTGAAGGGTCTGGAGCACAGGCCTTATGAGGAGCGGCTGAGGGAACTGGGGTTGTTTAGCCTGGAGAAGAGGAGGCTGAGGGGAGACCTTATCGCTCTCTACGACTACCTGAAAGGAGGTTGTAGTGAGGTGGGTGTTGGTCTCTTCTCCCATGTAGTTAGCGATAGGATGAGAGGAAATGGGCTCAAGCTGCGCCAGGGGAGGTTTAGGTTGGATATTAGGAAAAATTTCTTTACGGAAAGGGTGGTCAAGCATTGGAACAGGCTGCCCAGAGAGGTGGTGGAGTCACCATCCCTAGAGGTGTTCAAAAAACGGGTAGACGTGGCACTTCGGGACATGGTTTAGTCTAGTCTCCCCTTGATTCGTTTAGTGTGGACTTGGTAGTGTAGGTTAATGGTTGGACTGGATGATCTTAAAGGTCTTTTCCAACCTAAACGATTCTATGATTCTATGATTCTATTATTGTGGATAGGCACCTCCATTTACACAGAGCAGGGATCTGCCTTTTCTTTCTGTTAGGCTGCTATTGGTCTAGAGTCACTGTATGGCAGCCAAGTTAAAACATGGGCACCAACACCAGCCAGGAAGCAGGACACCATCATACTATGATCCCTCGGTTGCACACAATTTCCACAGCAGAGATTATTACTTACGTTAGAGATTCCCTCAGTGACCTTAAATAGGATAATGACCTGATTGCACTGTGTGCTGAACATCCATACAATAAGACATCCATCCTTAACTCATTAAAAGTGCTCTGGTTTAATTTCCTCAGTGATTATCTGATTGGACTACACTTTTCAGGCCTAATCTTCAGTCAGCACTGGTTAGTCTTTGACACTTTAGCAAAACAGAGCAGAGCAGACAATGAAGCTGGTTAACTCCAAGGCAGATAGTTTTTAAAAGTTCAGACTTAAGGTGCAGCCAGTTCCTTATTGCACAATGTTTACTTGACTTCTTGAAAAAGACCATTTTAATAGCATTACAACTGCAAGCCAATTATAGTTCACTTTCCCACATCAAATTCTTGTCCTTTTTTTGAGTAATGTTGTCTTTTTTTATTAAACAAGCTCCCACCAGTGTGACCTTTCCCATAAATCAACAAAAGCACTGGGTGACTCTGTCCACGCAGTGCAAGGCAGAGCCATGTCAGTGCCATGTAGCTCTGCTGGGACAGCATCCTCCCTCCAAGCGCTGTAGATGTGTGCCAGGGGTATGTTTATGGATACAGCTGCTAGAAGTGGGCTTAAATACACTGAAATACCTGACCCTTGTGTCCTGAGTGAAGTGGCTGCTTTTCTCAGAAGTCTGTGCAAGCAACAGCCATGTCTAATGATGCAGCTTAACCTCTTGCCCAAGTCCAAAATGCATCTTAACCCACCTTGTGTCCACATATAAAATACCACTAGGACACTTAACACTTCAGCTCCCCTCCATAAAATATTTGTCTGGCACTTGAGAGTCAACTCTTCACCTTAGGTTGTTAAAAACTACAATTAGAAGTCCAGCTAGAGAAGTTTCCTAATCATCTTCACAGGGAAGACAAACTACCCTGTCCTCCCAGCCTTAGAAACTCCCCACTTCACATACAGAAGTTTACTAGCTGGTTTTGCATCTTATTTTAAAAAAGCAAGGGGAAAAAAAAGAGCAAGAAAAAAGAACCCTCAAAGTTCATGCACTTCCTTTCTTTACACATGAATGGCTTTCTGAGGAAGAGCTTGTTGTTCCTTCTTGCACCACTGTGAGCACACCTCCATTAAGGGTGACAAGGCACTTTGCTACTTTTATAAACTTCTGGGAAGGCTTCCCTGGGCTTTCCAGTACCATCACATCACCAGCAATTGCCAAGAAGCAATATCCAAAACTCAGCTAAGGAGATGCGAGGGGAGGATGTGAATTCAGCCAAGCCTGCTCAGAGCTAATAGCCTGGAGTGGTGAGGACACAGCTACAGCCAGGAGAGCCTCAGAGCTGTGCATCCCAAATCCATGGACAAGTTTGACAGCATATGAAGTACACCTTCAAAATCCCAACTTATTAGCAGGCAGAAAATATCCTGCTTAACCTGTAAACACTGGTGTGATGTGGATGCAGATGGAGCATGGATTGAGACACAACCCTCGTGGTGGACAGGCAGGTATAGATGTGGTCCGGCAGGAGCCAGCACTGCCGGGGCAGCCCTCCTGCACATGGCCAGGCAGCCTGGGGAAGCTGGTGTAGCAATACTGGGTTTTGTGGCTTTTCTAATTTTTTTTTTTTAACTGTTTTTAAAAGATGAAGAGGGAATAAAGCCCCATGAGAATCTTTTGCACAGGTACTAATTGCCTCGCTGCAGCAGTTTGGAGGCATTAATACTCACACAGAGCTTCCCAGCTATAAGACA